GAAGTCATTGCCTGGGTTTACATGGTTATTGCTTTGATTTAGAACTATAGGAATGAAAATGTGTCCCTACTTCAGCATAACAAGATTTAGATTTCCTATTAAAGGCTTGGGTCCCGGGCTGTATGGTTTGGGCCACAACCTAGTGCAAAAAGCTGTGTCTCAGGGTTTCAAAGTTTGCACGTCGGGGCCTAGTTAGTTTAAGTTTATGCAACACATGAGTGATGGGGGACTCAACTTGTTTTCAATATCTGAAAGAAAGGAACGGATAGTAAACACAAATAATTAAAGCCCCTCCCCACGAAATCATCCCTTTAATTAGTCTGGACCCGAGCTTTCCAAGCACATCCGGACCGGTGCTCGACCCAAGCCATAACTAAAACCCGAACATAATTAACTACATCCATCGGTGCCCGCACGTGCCTGCTGGCTGACCTGGAACGACCACTGCCCGGCTGGATCACGAACGGCCACGACCTGCCACGAAAAGGAACTCAAAGTGTGAGGCTCAATGCAGGCATGGATGCACAAGCACTTGCAATCACGCATGGGTCATTTTTTCCGTTTCGGCAGTTCCGGGCAGCTGTTGCCCCGATCTGCAAAAAGTCGGAGCATGGCCGATGCTCCTCAGCACCAGTCTGCCTCCGAACGACCCCGGCAGCTGGTTTCATAGGGCCTCAGATGAAAAATCATTCATCCCTGCACGCCGGCATGTTGCTAAAATGCAAAGTCGCTCCAAAGAAACTACCGAACTTAGTTAAGGCACCGCTTGGCGAACGACGACGAAAGTCCTAGCGGCGGTCGTCGTAGCCATAGCGAGGGCGGCGATAGTCCTTGGGTGTCGAGCAAACCGTGACATTAATATGTTGTTGCTAACACACACGGCTGCAGAAAAGCGGCCGGCTCCTCAATCCACCTCGGTGCCGGCCGCCCCGGGTGGCCAGGATCCGAGAGGCGATCACGATCGTCATAGTACCGGTAGCGATCCCGATCGTCCTCACGGTCGCGAGGATCACGATAACGACCCCAGGCACCACCACGATCGTCACGGTCACGGTCGTCCATGCGATAGCCAGGGCCAGGGCCATAGCCGCCACGAGGACCATCTGACAATGGAGGGTGACACAAGACAACTGCAACTGTGCAAAGGCAACATGACATGTACACAACTGACAAATGCAAACCAAGCCACAGCGATCGCGATCGCGATCGTCGAAGTGGTGCTGCTCCGCACGGCGAGCATCGTAATCGTCGTAGGTTGGCCGGGGCGCCGGACGATCACGAGGTGCTCCGCCCTGGCCCTTGCCGCCGCCTTAGCAACTTAGATTAATTAAAGCAAAAAATATTATCATTAAAGTTATTAATTACTGTCCATGCTAAACCGAGCTACCCGGTGGGACCACGTCCGGCCGGATCCGATCCAGCTCCTTCCTCACGCAAGACGTGATTGCGGCCGACGGGTTCCGGTACGTGCGAACGTCCGCCGCATTCTCACCTCAGGTCTTCAGATGCAATGAACCATGCAATGCCAAACTCAAGTCAAATACCAACACGAAAGCACACAAGTACGACTAGCCACGCTGGAAGATTTGGAACAGCTCCCGAACGACCCGAGCTCCGTCATCGCTGTGGCCAGCCAGGTTGGCGACAGACTGAGCAAATCAGACACTTCAGTCACAACATGTGCAACTGCTGCAAATGGCTAAATTGAATAATATTATTATACCAAACCGAGCCGCCCTCCTGCGGGCATTGTCCACATTGATGGCATCGAGCTCGAGAAGCACCGAAGGGGCCACACGCCAGATGTCGAAGCGAACCTGAGCTAACATTAAACAATGGTTATGAATCCTAAGCTTTTTATTTCAACCGAGCGGCGGCATCGACAACGGCATTCCCGAGAGACGGCATGCAGGTTTCGAGGTCCTTCGGGTCGAACCGCCCCAAGCCGTAGTCCGCCTCGCACCTGACCTCCCCCCGTACAGGGGGCTTCCCGCCGCTTGACGACCCCGGAGCCGAGCCGCCTGTAGCCGCGAACGGCCCACGACGAGGCCCCCGAGAGGCCACGAGTTCCTTGAGCTCCTCGATGTCCTCGTCCGGCAGCTTGGCGATCGCCCACCATTCGGCATGCAAGTCTCCGAAGGTCGGCATCCAAACCGGCAGGCCGAACACTGCCGACAAGGCCACCGCGAGAGACGCCGAGCGGTTGCGACCGTGCGAGCCTCGGATGCGAACATCTATTCTCTAAACTAATCTAATAATACCTTGCACCTACTAAGACCTAAACTTAGAACATGAACTTAAACCTTTCCTTGAAACTTGATTGAGCCGAGCTACAGATCACGCTCAAAATCGAACGACCCTCGACGTGCAGCAGCGACTCGAGAATCCCGACCAGCATGATGAACGTCGGCTCGAATTCGACCTGGTCGCGACAGGCCTTCCAAGCGGCATACTTGCAGAGCGGATTGCCTAAGTGATTCAGCATGAAACTGCAAAAAACGCACAAGCCTCTGAGAGTGCTAACTTGTTAAATTTAAGTGAGTCACCAGGAGGGGACTTCTCGCGAAACTTGTCGGACGGCCATGTCCCCCGAACGTCAATCTGGCACTGTGTGCCGCTGACGTCATACCACCTCTTCTTCATGAAGTAGGGACACACCGAGTGACCCTTCTGGCCTCGGTGATGGTACATGACATGCAACCTTGATCCTTGACTAAATACCTGAACTGAGCACAACAAATCTTAAATGCACAGAAGCCACCGACCGCCCCGGACTTCGACGACGTGTGGTAGACCTCCTCGGCACCCCACGCCACGATGAGCGGCCCGTCGTGCCATGGCCCCTCGTCGACCGGCTGCTCCACCGAGCGATAGTCGAGATCCTCCTCGTGCTGCTTGCGAGGTCCCGAGCGACCAGCCATGAGTCCAAGGAACGGCAAACGTGTGCCGAAAGACCCCCGAAAAACCCCGAACGAACGGCCTAATGACCGAACGACCGAAAGACATGAAAAAAACCCTCACCGAACTGTGCAAGTAAACTGTGAAAATCTGTGCATGACATGATCTGAAGCTGCCTTTCAGGACATGGCATGCAACATCCAAATGCTTCCGGGAGCCTTAAAATGATGCGAAAATGCACAACATCAAGCTCACGCGGCAAAACACTGAAGTGCACAACATGTCAGGCACTACAACATGACTGGGCAAGGCACTCCTGAATGCAAGCTTACAAAACCCCCAAACTCGTGCCGGCCGCACCGTCCAGTCTCGAAGTGAATGATGTCGAACGGCCAGGGAAACGAACGACCACGAACGACGAACGACCTGCCTTCCACAAAAACTACATTGATTATTTTCAGCCTCAAACCAAACCTTGATGCAACCTGATTTCCTGTTTTAAACGATCTAAAACAACCCCTCCCACAAGTATCATAAATACACTGCCCCCAACAGCAAAATATCTCACTAAATCATGAGTCCCGAACCCGAAACAATGATCTACCTATCCCAAAACCTTACGTGTTTAGGGGTCTGCTCTGGGGGGGGGCCAGGGGGGGACCAAAATATGCACTTAGCGGCTGCTACTTTTAAAGGCTGCTATTAGGCCATCTGACAAAAGGCTGACGCTTTATCAGGGTGCGTTTAGGCTTTTGGCTTTAGGGTATTGGGTTTAGGGGTTTTGGGTTTAGGGGTTTAGGGTTTAGGAGTTTAGGGTTTAGGAGTTTAGGGCTCAGGGGGTTTAGGGTTAAGCGTTTTGGGTTAATACACGCCCGCCTGATTATGTTAAGAAACGTGCTCGAGGATGTCATTCTTATCCCGCTTAGTAGCGAGATGTAGGGTGATAACCCTGTCCCGCTTAATGGTGGGATACGCCGCCTGGTATTCAAGTGCTTAGGTCTTCTACGGGGCCTGGAGATAGAGGCATAGAGAATCGGACAAATGAACAGATGCGAGAGATTTTTTCAATTCCGCTTACAAGGGGATGTTTGTAAAACACCTATGTTTTTTTGTTTAACCGGTGTTTTGAGATAGACTTTAGGACATTACCGACTTACTGTCCCGTGACCCTGCAAGTACGATATAGGGGCCTCAACAACCAGACTACGGTTGGGGGGCTGTATTATTCTACATTTATGCAACAAGGAAGCATAAGGAATACATTAAGCACTGACTATGTTGCAAGCCTACGCTAAGCGGCCCTAACCCTAAAACCCTGACCCTGAAAATACAAAGCCAAATGCTACAAAACCGGTCAAGAGCAAGCATATTTGCCGCAATACTTCAGTTTTAAATAACTTATAGCGTTCTAAGTATGGTAACCCCACTTCGGAACCCTTTCAGGGCTGAAGGGGTGGACACCCCCAAACCCTAAACCTAAACCCTAAACCCGAACCCTGAACCTAAACCTTAACCTGGCTGACTTCTGAACCCCTCTAAAAAGTTAAACTTCTAGCCTCCTTATTAAAGCTCATATAGAAATCCCAAAAGTTAAAGTCCTAAGAGCCAACCAGGAGAACGCCAAGTCAAAGGGGTGGACACCTAAACACCACGTGGGTGGTTATCAAAATCATGGTCTCTTTTGGGGTCCCTAATATAGTACGGCACCCCTAAACCCTAAACCCTAAAAAGGGACCCTCATTTTGACAACCACCCACATGGCATCAGGGCACTTCGAAGAACCCTCGAGCAGAAGCCGTCGTTTCAGGGCTTAGCAGGCTCAGGGTTAGGGTCTAGGCTTTAGGGGGTTCAGGGAGTTTTTTTTTGTTTTTGAGCTCCTTTTCTCCAAGCCCGAAGGTCCGAAGAGGCTAAAAAGCCAGGAAAGCAGGGTTCAGGGAGTTTAGGGTTTAGGGCTTAGGGGGCTCAGGGGTCTAGGGGATCTAGGCTTTAGGGGGTTCAGAGAGTTTAGGGCTTAGGGCTTAGGGGGCTTAGGGGGGTTTAGGCTTGAGGGGTAGAGGGTTCAAGAACAACACCGCAGCCCGAAGAAGTGGGGCAGAAGGCTCCTCGTGCTTCTCGCGCTCCTGTTGCACAGCTTTGCGGTGCTCGTCAAGGTTCCGAAGCTCCTGTGACAAAGGCGGTCCTAAACTCGACAGTAAAGTTCTAAACCCGAAACCCTACACCGCCGAACAGAAACGACAAGAAGGACATGCCTGTCTGGTTCTTAGTAGGGACTGGGGGAATGGACTATGGAGACTATTATTGGGGATTATATAGGGGCTACTATAGGGATCCACTCCCCGTCCCCTACTAAGAACCAAAGAGACAAGAAGAACATGCAATTTCCTCATGGGCTCATTCCCAAGACCCAAACTAATGTCGGAATCAGATTAAGAAACCTTGGGCCTTTCTTCGGGTTTAGGGCTCTTAGCGTTTAGGGTTTAGGAAGCTGATTAAGAAATGAGCTTTTATTAGGGTTCCTTATCATATGAATCCTACTATCTTAGGGTTATGCGACCATGTTCCTACATTACACCTTTCAGCTTGGCAAGTCTACTTGGGATTGAGGCCTCATTGGGCTTAGTAAGTAGGGGATCATGCAGGGTGTAGTTTAGGGTTTAGGGTAGGTTAAAAATGGGGCTATACATCGCCTAACTGCGGTATGCTGGGTCTGATCTTACTTACAACTTACTTTGACAGGCCCTTTTGCCTTTAAAGTACACTCTAGTTATGCTGAAGCTTACTTGTTCGTAATTGCGCAGGTCTCTACATTGTTGCCTTAAAGCTTTAGGTGGAGAATGAAAGAATCACTTCTCCAAACCCTGAACCCTCCCTTCCAGGGCTGCGGAAACCTGATTCTGTCTCCTGCGCCCTCTCCACAGCACAGCGGTCTTGTACCTGGAGATGCGTGGAACGTTTGTTTAGGTTTTGGGGTTCGAGGGTTGAGGTTTTAGGGCTTAGGTCTGTTGACAAGATGTTTCTGATGTAACAGTTATGATGTGCAGCGTGGGTGCTGATGATGGTCGTCGATCTAAAAAAGTGAACCTACATAACTCTACTGTCAGCCCGGTGAACCTGAGACAGTGGTTTCATGCTCGTTTCCTGAAGGACCAAATGACCCTTAAAAGTAGGGGCCCTATACCCATATACTATGAATCCCTATATGGAATATGGACTTAAACCCTTTTAGGGTTCATTTCGTCCTTAGGGTTTGTACCATCAGCCCTAAACCCCTGACCCGAAGTCCCTTAAACGGCATTAGGGGCTTAGTCAACTTGGAGGGCCGGGGGACTTAGTAAGTAGGTAGTATAAGTAGACTTACAGTAGAAGCCGGAAAGTTGCAATATCATTATCGTAGCCCATTTAAGGTAAATTATAGGGGATCCTACCATTAATCCATATTCCAACTTTCTGGAGTTCCCTGTATAGGTACCCTAAAAGGGACCCTAATTGGGGTTATTGTACTTATAACTCCGTAAAATAACCAGTTACTAAGTCCCCCGACCCTCCAAGAAGTCTTGGGACTGATTGCGTTTCGCTGTCGGCCCTGATCCGCCAGACAACCCTAAACCCTAAACCGTGGCTCTCTGTGCTGGTCTTGGGCCTGACCCCGCTTTCCCGTGATGTAGGAACCTGACGACGAAGCCACCGTTCACTCTTTTCGCAAATAATAGGGTCCATAGACGCACCCCAAAATAACATCAACATACCTAGACCCTCCATCTACTCTCTATTAGACCCTAAATGCCTTATTTGGGATCATATACCCCTCTTTGAGGGTACAAAAAGGGTCCTGGTAATAGCCCGGCATGTATTTTTCTCAGGTCCCTACATGATCGAGTCTTCGTCACTTGCAGTGACAAAGATGGAAACCCCAAATGAAAAGTGTAAGAAGGTACTGCTTTGGGCCGTAGCATACTGAAAACCCTCAAGCCTAAGCCCTAAGCCCTAAACTGAACCTTACTAAACCAAACCTGAACTCTAAATTTTAAACACCCCCCAGAAACTTAACCCTAAACCCTGAGCTAATCCCGAAACCGCCACCGGAGAGAAAGCCCGGGGAGCACGACGCGGCGTTCGGCAAGCTGCAGCGCCCGGCGTGCTGCCACGAGGTTGGCGTCCGGCTTTGCAGACTGAAGCAGGTTTGGTGTTTAAGGATACCACAAGGGTTCTATAACGGTTCCTGAAAGAGTTCTATAACAAAGGTTCTCTGTAAGGGTTCCGTAAGGGTTCTTCGGATGTTGGTTGCTGAAGGTTGTTGAGGGTTCAGGGTTCTTTTTTGATCCAAGGCTTGGATTTTTCAAACGACGCTTTGCACGTATATAACTGAGGGTCCACATACCCCGAATGTGCCTGTGATAGGGAATACTTTAACTAGACCTAAGAGTAACCTAGGAATAAAAAGGGTGCCCTTTTTGGTTTAAAGGGGTTTATAAGGGAACCTAAGCCTCAAAAAAGGGAATTAGGGCCTATTCTGGGTCCTATTTAAGACCAAAATAAAGTAGAAGCCGGAAAGTTGGAACATCATGATCCTCATGCCTTTGTTGCAGGTAAGGCAAGGTATAGGGAATCTCAGCACTAATCATCCTAAATCCATGTTCCAACTTTCTAGGTGTGATTATATATTATTTGGGCACATGATCCCCAAACCCTAAACCGACCCTTTTTGGGATTTGTACACTTATTCGAGTTTTGAGGGTCGCGGCAACATGAACGAGGCTAAAGATCTGACTATTGAAGAGGTTTAGGGTTTAGGGGTTTAGGGTTTAGGAGTTTAGGGTTTAGGGGTTTAGGGTTTAGGGTTTAGGGGTTTAGGGGTTTAGGGGTTTATGGGTTTAGGGTTTACGGGTTTAGGGGTTTAGGTTTAGGGTTTAGGGGTTTAGACTTTAGGGGTTTAGGCTTTAGATCCCCCCTAGAGTTGAATTTAAATCATATTGAGATCGATCCTGGCACTCCTGGGATGCCCAGTAACCTACGAATAGAAAGGGCTCCCTTTTCGGTCTTGGGGTAACTGCATAGGGAACCTAGGACTACAAAATGGGAATAAGGGTACTACTGGGCATCCTAGACTCTATAACTTTGCTGTGTAAGTAATGATTTGGGATATGACCTTTCATATGGCATCGGGCATAGCAGGTGACGTGGGAGATCCCAGCAGAGACCATAACAGTTATTCCGAACTTGTAAAACCCACATACGATGTAGGTGCTTCTGAAGCTGTTTACTGGCGAGGATATCACGATTCTGCAAGTGGCGCCTACTGTTCCGCGATGGAGAAATAATACAGAAGCCTCAGGAAGCACTAAAATTGGGCAGCTCTTGTGTCAGACTCATAAAGTAGGGGCCTTAAGAATTAGAATAGGCTTGGGGGTACATTGTACTATACTTCTAACAAGGAACCTTTAAAACCCTATTCTAATTATTAAGCCCCTACATTAGCTTGATAGATTGGGAAGTCAGATCTCCCGTCCTTTCTGAGAGCCACATGGCATTTGATGCAACCCTAAACCCTATACACTCCACCTTCCCCCCCTCAAACTCAGAAGTAACCCCAAACCCTAAACCCTAGAACCCAACCCCCCCCCCCCCCCCCTCAAGCTCAGAAGTCTCCTCGTCCTCACCAGTGGCGCGACCCTCAGCGCTTCCCTCTGAAGGTTGTGCAGAGCCTCGGACAAGATCTTCTGTGAGGGGGCTTGCAAGGTTTATAGGTGTGTGTGTGTGTGTGTGTGTGTGTGTGTGTGTGTGTGTGTGTGTGTGTGTGTGTGTGTGTGTTTTTTTTTGTTTTTTAAGGGACCCTTTTCGTCTGCACGCAGCGAAAGTTGGGGTTTATAGGGTTTAGGGTTTAGGATTCAGCGTTCAGGATGGTTTAGGGTTTAGCACAGTGTACGGTGTTTATAGGGTGTAGGGTTTAGGGTTGGAAACTAGGATTCAGGGCCTTTATGATCCTCTAAGCAGACTTGGAAAGCATCCTTGGAACCATACCTATAGTCTCCATTGTAGTTCCTTTTTTGGGTTTAACCAAATATATAATAAGGATCCTATAAGGTAACCCCCCAAAAAGGAACTACAATGGAGACTACAGGTACATTGCAAATAATTCGCTGGAGTGTTTGGCTATAAAAAGAGCAAAAAACACGTCCTAGGAGCACTAAAGTGAGACCCTGACCCTAAACCCTAAACCCTAAACCCTAAAACCCTAAAGACCCTGACTCTAGATCTGGGAAAAGCTCCGTTCTGAAGCGTAGCGACTTGGTGTCTGTGGGTCTAGGTTCTAGGGCTGTGGTAGTAAGTAGGGTTTAGGGTTCCTCTTAAGGGTACTATACGGTTCAAAAATAGGGTTCCCTTTAAGGGTTTAGGTTCTACTTAAAGGCTCCTGGGACTTAGTAAGTAAGGTTACAAGTAGGTTATAATTAGGATAACCCCACTTAGGGGACTGATACCCCCAATTATACCCTACTTACTAAGTCCCATGATCCTCTAAGTAGGTTCTTGGGGTTGACATTTTTAGCTTTGAAGGGGCGAAAGGTTTCGGGTTTAGAGCTGGTTGCCATCGAGGCTTTGATGATTAGAATAGGGCATGGGTTTTTTTAATTATTAAGAGAAGGCCCCATACTTGTCCTACCTCGTGTTCTTGGCTGTCTTTGTTTGTCTTTATCTCTTCTGCCCCTTTTTATATGTCTTCAGTTGTCTTTATATGGCATCACGCTAACTAATTACTTAACTTGGCTGACTTCTGAACCTCCTAAAAGTTAAACTTTTAGCCTCCTTATATTATAGTTAATATAGAAACCCAAAAAGTTAAAGTCTAAAGAGCCAACCAGAAGAACGCCAAGTTATATAAGCCCTCGAGGACTCCAAACCTCGACCTAAGAGTGCAGCAAAGTTCAATGAATCGTGTCGCCACACCGTCCCCAGAGACTCCAATATCCCTTAATTAAGGAATACCTAGGGACCTAGGGTTCCTTTAAGGGATCCTTTAAGGGATCTATAGGGTTTGGGGTTAGGAGGATCCTAATATCCCTTAATTAAGGAATATGCCTTACATTATATTAGGGATCCTACCATAATTTAAGGAATATTCCTTATACTTAAGGGATATTGGAGTCTCTGGGTCTGCACCAAGCTACGGTTGATGGACAAATCCTGCATGGCCCTAAGGATCCGAAACTATGGGAACTATGGTATAGTCCTTACTATGGGTAATGCAGGATTTTGTCCATCAAAGGTAGTTCATTGTTGGGATAGGATTAAAAATGTACAAGGGGGTTTAGGGTTTAGGGGTTTAGGGGTTTGGGGGTTTGGGGGTTTGGGGGTTTAGAGGTTCAGGGCTATAGGGGGTTTAGGGTTTAGGGGTTTCAAGGTTTACATAGGGGTTTAGAGTTTGTAGCTGCCTCAACTTCCATAACGACCGCGGTCTTGGGGCAGAAACCCCCGAGAGGGGAGGCTCTGTCTGCTAGCCCTAAACCCTCAACCCTAAACCCCTAAACCCTAAACCCTAAACCGGAGCCCATATTTCTAACCTCAAAGTAGCCTAAGGCTCCTTACATCAGTCCTCAAGGACGTCATGCTAAACCCCTACTTGGAGGGTCGGGGATGTATAGCCCCAAATGATAACCTATTTTACGAAGTCCCATGATCCTCTAAGGAACCCAAACTCCCCCTTATAGAACCCTTATAGAACCCTAAACCCTAAAGTATCCCTTGAAAGAACCCTACTTGGAGGGCGGGGGACTTAGTAAGTAGGTAGTAAGTAGACTTATAAGTACTCTAAAAGGGACCCCAATTGGGGTTATGGTACGTATAACTCCGTAAAATAACCAGTTACTAAGTCCCCCGACCCTCCAAGTACTCTACCCAAAACCCTTATATGATGGGAGGCCAAAAGGGGGGTTTAAGATTCTTGGGGTTGGGATTCCTTAATATGAACCCTATTATGGGAACCCGAAACCCTACGCTAAAGATTTCTGAACCCCTCTTAAAAGTTAAACCTTTGGCCTCCTTGTTATAATTAATATAGATACCCAAAGGGTTAAAGTCCTAAGAGCCAACCAGAGGAACGCCAAGAACCCTTGCTACAGCAGAAGAATCACCAAGAGCATTCATACCACAAGATTTCCCGAAATCCTTTTTGAAAAATAGTGCGGCCCCATGCGGCCCCGGTATTAACGTGTATCAGTTTATAAACATTAAACAACTTACACCCAACAAAAACGAAATCGTCCAGGCCCCTATGCTCAACTCCAAACCCCTAACATCTCGCAACCTCCTGACACTGAACTTCGAAGCAACTTGCAACCTTGCAACATTGCCTCAAAACCTAATTAAGGCTTATACGTTACAGATCCTGTCCCGTGCGCTCTTAAACATCGCGAAATTGTAGTAGTATGGCAGGAGCGGGGCAACTCCAAAACTGCTTGGACCCCACTGTAAAGCCTAAACCCTGAACCCTAAAATCCCTAAACATCCTAAAAATCCTAAAAACCCCACTAAGCCTTAAAAAACCGATAACATCCTAAAACTGAGCTTCGAGGCGACCTTCCTCGCCGGTGCTTGCTGCCTCCGCTTGGGCAACGGCATCCTGATTCGAGCATGAAGGATTTGGGAGGCCAAAAGGGTGGTTTAAGATTCTTGAGGTAGGGATTCCTTCGTATGAACCCTATTATGGGAACCCGAAACCCTACGCTAAAGACTTCTGAACCCCTCTTAAAAGTTAAACTTTTGGCCTCCTTATTATCGTCAACATAGACTAAACCCCCATAGGCTAAAACCCTTTGTGGCCTCCTTTGATACCCTTATAGATCCCTTTAAAGACACCCCTATAGATCCCTTTAAAGCAACCCCAGGGATCCCTAACCCCCATAGGCTAAAACCCCTTTTGGCCTCCTATGAATAAAGCATTTGGTGTTCGGTTCAGGGAGCTTAGATCAAAGGGGAAAAGGAGGGACCCTTTAAAGGGGACCCCTACCCATAGGGAAGAGGGTTCAAGAAAGGGGTCTATGAGGACTACTATAAGGGGCTATATTGAGGGTTTAGGGTTTAGGATATAAGGGATTCTACAAGGGTATAAGGTTTAGGGTTTAGGGGTTTGGGGGTTTAGCGGAAAAGGAAGGACCCGTAATGGGGACCACTACCCTATAATGGGCTATATAACAAATATACAATCGCTATATTAAGGGTATATACCTAGGGGTCCTTATTAAGGGTCCCTCCTTTTACCCTTGGACTAGAGTTTAAGGCTTAAGGGCGAGGGGTTGGAGTTTAGGGCTTAGGGTTTAAGGTATTAGGATTCGACCGATGATCTGGGGGGTGTCAGGAGTGTCTGGAGCGCGTAGTCCTAAAACCGAAACGCGGTCTCATTGGCTTTACGGGGTTGCTCTACCTGAAGGCTCATGGGACTTAGTAAGTAAGATTATAAGTCAGGTTATAGTTGGGATAACCTCAAATACTCAGGGCACGTTTCACCCCAATTAAATATTAAATACAACCCTACTTACTGGGTCCCTTGAGCCTTTAAGCAGGCTAGCGCGAGCCGAGTGCTGAAACTCAAAACCCCGCACAATGCCGCACCCCAAAATCCTTACAGTAAAAGCCAGAAAGAAGGAATATGATTATCCTAAACCGTGTATGGTAAATTATAGGGTATCCTACCCTGAAGCCATATTCCAACTTTCTGGAGTTCCCTTTATGGGAACCCTTTCCGGAAGCAATTCAACCCTCGACTCTTTCAAGGAGCCCTTTCAGGAAACTTTCAACCCTACTTAGAGGATCATGGGACTTGGTAAGTAGGTTATAACTGGGTTTATAAGTCCCCTAAGTGGGGTTATCCTAATTATAACCTACTTATAACCTTACTTACTAAGTCCCATGAGTAAGTCCCATGAGCCTTCAAGTAGATAGGGCGCCAAAACATCACATAAACAAAAAACAGGATAGGGATATCCCATATACATCCCTTATAATGAAGCCCAATAAGGTAAGGATATCCTTCTAAAATGCTTATGCTTATGTGCTTTTGGGGGTTTCTAATTAGAATCCTTAAAGCATTCCTTTCAGGAAGCCTTTCAGAACTCTTTAGCCCGATAGTCACAGTGGTCGGTATGTTGAGTTCAGGCGACGCGACGCCAGCACTAAGCGGCTCATAGTACCCCAATGCTGCGATGGAGGTTTCATCATGAGCGTCTCGACAACCATGCCTGGGATCTGAGGATTTGTCGACTGTGGCTGGATTGTTCTTCCTCCGCGGGTTACTGGCCTGTTCGAAGGTCCAGCACCTTGACCTTCCTGTCCGTTGCCAAAAGTTTGCATGGTCATAACTTCAACGGTTTTCCCAGGATAGAACCTGGCCATATGACATTTCCCATTGATTCGCGCCATGAAGCGGACGACTACCTCAGCCTTCACACGGGTCCCTAAGGCCGAAACAACCTTCTGGAATTGTTAGAGTACCCGTATAGTACCCTTAAAACTATACCACCATTACAACCATAACACAACTAAACATCTTAAATATTTTCTTGGAGTTTATATGAACACAAACTAAAACAACAGTTCCCAAGGAGACCATAGTATAGAAACCTTAAAACCCTTAATTCGAAACACCTTCTGGAATTATTATGGTACCATTACAGTACCCTTTAAGAAACCCTTAAAGGAACCCTAAAACCCTGAGAAAGCAATCCCAGAGACTCCAGTATCCCTTAATTAAGGAAAATTCTTCAAATCAGAAAAAGGGCCCTGCTATAGTTTGAGGAATATTCCGTAATTAAGGGATATTGGAGTCTCTGGGAACGTCTAAAACCCTGAGAAAGCCATGTCTGGCCTGTGCTTTCTGCAGTTCCGCCTGAGAGCGTTGCAGCGCAGCCGTCTTGGCGGTCACGTCCATAGTCGCCTTTAAGGGCTCCCTCTAAGAGTTCTTTTGAGGTTTCCTGTAAAAGGAGAGGGTTTTAGGGAATTAAGGGTTTAGGGGTTTAGGAGGTTTTGGGGTTTAGGGTTTAGGGGTTTAGGGTTTCAACTGACTGTTTAAGTCTTAGCATCCCTATCGCTAAGGGTTGTGTCGTTATGACTCGGTTTAAGGATTCCTGCCCTGAACCCTAAACCCTAAAACAAGTTTAGGGGCTTTGAAGAAGGCGGCTGAAACCCCTACCTCCAACCCTTGAAGCCCTTGTCCCCAAACTTCAAACCCAAAAATCCTCAACCCCGAACCCTAAAACCGTCAACCCCTAATAGCCGAAGAATGTCCTGAACTCAGAACCCTAAAACCTAAAACCTCAACCCTTAAATCAGAGAAACCCTAAACCCTAACACATCTGGTGTGAATTTCTCCTAACCCTATCTCGAATCCGGAGACCTCATGGCCTTTATTCATAATGTACCTCGAAACCCTCTTCAAAATATTAAGTTCCGCATACTATGTTGTCCTGCTTGATGGCTCAAGGGACTTCGTAAGTAAGTTATTTAATTGTGGTTAGATGTGCTCTAAAAGGGGTTATCCTATTTACGACGTTATTTCTGAGATCCTACAAGTCACTTACAGAGTCCCTTGAGCCTGTAAGTGGGCAGTCTTGGAGGGTTTAGGGCCTATGGTTTGGGAAATTTCGGGTTTAGCACCCAGCGTCTCCAATATATCTTAATTAAGGAATATTCCTTAACTTATGGTAGGATCCCTAATATGATTTAAGGGATATTGGAGTCTCTGGGCAAGTAAGTCGTGAATGCAGCTGAAAGGCTAAACCATAAACCCTAAACCCCCAAACCCTAAACCCTAAAACCTAAACCCCTTGGCCTTTTAAAGTCGTCTCTGGGGTTGAGTCAAGTTACACTCTAGGATGCCCAGTAACCTAAGAGTAAAAAGGGCTCCCTTTTTGGTATTGGGCACCTTGATAAGGAGCCCAGGACTACAAAAACGGAATAAGGGTACTACTGGCCATCGTAGCACTTAAGCCCTAAACCTAGAAGCCCTGATGCTTGAGAGGCCGATACATGGGACAATAGCCAGGGTAGACTCCCGTAACTGCGGTCGACTCAGAGATCCCAATATCCCTTAATCAAGGAATATACCTTAAATCATAGGGGCCGTAATATTATGGTTTAAGGTATATCCCTTAATTAGGGGATATTGGGATCTCTGGGTATAGTACACCCTGAGACTCCACAATCGTTTATATAAGGAACAGCATCTACAAGTAGGGACCTTCGATTTACAAGTAAACAGGCAGTGTCAAGGATATATCTTAAGAAGGCTCCCGGTACCTCTATCATAATCAAATTCAACACAGCTTGATTGAATAGGGGGATTGCAGATAGGGGGTCCTGTGCATCGTGCACGATACTTGGGAGGGACCCCAACTATCGTACCCTAAATACCAGGATACTTATCAGAAGGACCCCAAAGTAAGGTACCCCAAATTTTCGGAAACTCTAAACCCGAAACCCTTTATAGAACCCTTATAGATCCCCTAAAGGAACCCTTAAAGGATCCCTTTAAAGGTACTTGCCAAACCCAAGCAGGCGAGTGCAGCCGGGGTGTTCCGCAACCAGCTTTTGCACTCTCGAAAGAGCCATCATGCCGTTTAGGGTTTAGGGTTTAGGGCTTAGGGTTTAGGGTTCATGCCGATCTGTAGGTCGGGAGAGCCGAGCTCTGGTAGGGACTCGGCCCCTGGGAGCCTTGACACGACCCTCCCCACCACTGTCTTGAGTCCATGTCTCATGCAGAATGTGTCGCCGACTAACATCCGGCGAAACCGACTTTGCCTTTCGTGAGAATTCATGATGCTCGGAATCACCCAGACCTTCCAAAATCCCCTAATTAAGGAATATACCTTAAATTATAATGGGATCCCTACTATAATTTAAGGTATATTCCTTAATTAAGGGATTTTGGAAGGTCTAGGCACAGAGACCCGGTCACTCACCGAAGGGCGTGTTCATGTCTGAGGCGTGCGGCGACAGCAAGCACCAGTAGTGACGAGGGCGCGCCGCAGAACGTTGAGCGGCTGAATGTCCAGGTCAAGCCTGACACCACCAGGGATGAGAAAGCAGCCCGAATTTGGTACCGCCTCCGCAGCCGGAAACGCATGGATGACCACACTGCAAACTATCCGCAACATGTGGCATGGATCTCTGAAGACATACTCTCAGTTGGGGGGTTCTTCGGCACGGATCATTCTGGCCGCTTTGAGTACAATGGGACATCGCATGGTGTGGTTTAGCATTTGAGGTTTTGGGCTTCTACGGTTTCTTGATCTTCAGCTATTTTTGGGAGATTTAAGAGTTTTGAGGTTTTAGGTGTAGGTTGATGTAGAGTAGGAGCAAAGACTCGTGCAGGGTCTATGCACGAATCTAATGCTGACTAATGCTGTCTTCTTTCAAGCTCTTATATCTGTCAGACCCGTCCACCAAATCATTGTGTCTGCTTGCTGATGGATTAGTGTGAAACTTGTTGCGATTTTCGAGCACGACTTACAGCTCTTGCAGAAAAAAACATGAAGATCTAGTATTTGTTGTGAAACACCTCCAAATCCTGACTCCTAAACCCCCCAAACCCTAAATCTAAAGACTGCGCCCTAAACCTTAAAAACCCTAAAACCCTAAACCGTAAAACCCTAGAACCTCAAAACCCTAAAACCCTTAACCCTAAAACACTAGAACCTTAACACCCTAAACCCTGAACCCTAAAACACTCATATGGGGTTATATTATATATAGGGACTTTAGTACCCAAAAAAGGTTAAAGGTTCCCTACTCTACTACTAGGAACCCTAAACCCTGAACCCTAACCCGATGCTTGCGCCAACCTGGCCCCCAATCGCCAAGAACTTGGTCGCCTCCTCCCACTTCCTCCGGGGATTTAGGTGGTTTTAGGGATCGAAAAAGGAGCTTTTCGAAAAAAAAAAAGGGGAGGGGGCTTAGTATTTCGACAACAGAAACCATAAGGGCGTACTATTACCACTTCTTCCGACCCCAATATTACAGTATATAGAGACGTTTGTAAAAGGACCCCGAAAAAAGCAATGATACATGAATGAATGGACTACCTTAGCCCAGATACTGGTGGGATGCGTTTTTGAGGGGATCTATCGTTTTAAACCTTAAGGACAAAATGACCCTTAACAGTAGGGGCATTATACAATTATACTATGAACCCCTATAAGGAATATGAACCCTAAACCCTTTTAGGGTTCTGTTCGTCCTCAAGGAACCCCAAACCCAATCGGGCTAGGGACCGTTCAAGATGATTGTGCCGCCGCCTTATACCTGGGCCCCAAAAGCATGTAGAATAACGGACTTTTATAGGTTTTGGGCCATGATTTTACCTACCTTTGGGGGTCTGAGTAGGGGTTTAGGGTTTAGGGTTTTGCAAATTGCAAAGCATCGCTCCTTCTATGCTTACTATGCCGGGTGTTGCGGGTCATCAGCCCAGCATAACATATAGCACCTCTGTTCTTCAACAACCGGGCCCCAAAAAGTTCAAACTTTCCAAGATAGAGCCAATATATAAGGCCAAAAAGTTTAAAGTTCCCCCGTTCACTATCTAAGGCAGAAACCTGATGCGCCCTCTAAGCCATGATTAAAACATGAACGTCTTTGCTGGCAGAAAGTCTGAAACACCTTCAGCCGATTAATCCAAGGGTAAAAGCAGGAACCCTATGTATATACCCTTAATATAGCTACTATATACCCATTATATGCTCCATTATTTTGTAGGGGTCCCCATTCAGGGTCCCTCCTTTCCCCCTAAACCCTCTAAACCCTCTAAACCCCCAAACCCTAAACCCTATACCCTTATAGAATCCCTATAGATCCCTTTAAAGGGACCCTTAATGGGTCCCTCCTATTCCCCCGTTGATATTATGCACTGAGCCTCGGCACCTGAAGCCGTGAGCACTCCGACTGCACTATGGGGGCTCCGTCTTTCTTTTGAGGCCTTATTAGTCCTTATTATGGGCCTTAAGGCCCCCTACCCCCCCTCCCCCTACACCCCTAAGGATCCCTATGAACCCTGCACCCTGAACCCTCATCCCTGTACTATAGGATCCTTAAGGGAGGGTGGTTCAAGGGGGGAGGGTATAAGGAATCCTTAGGGGACTGTAAGGGAACCTTAGGGAGTACTAGGGAGAGCTAGGGATCACTAGGCTATATACCCCCCTTGGAGCCCCCTCCCTTAAGGATACTATAAGCTTCCGTATCTTAACCCTAAGGGTCCATGTACTCATATAGTATATACATTGGCCTTAAAGTACTCCCTATATAGGTACATTGGGCCCAAAGTATATGCTATATGGGTACATGGACCCTTAGGGTAAGTTACACTCCACGAAGAAAGCAACCGAAACAACACAATGAACCACATACGGATGTCACATGCAGAATGTGTATGTGTCTAGACCTTAGAGTAACCTAGGAATAAAAAGGGTTACCTTTTTGGTTTAAAGGGGGTTATAATAAGGGGACCTGAACCCTAAAAAAAGGGAATGAGGGCTTGCTCTGGGTCCTAAATTATGTGTATCTGTGTATGACTGAATACCGGAGCCGGAAGTGGTCCTCTTGGCTTCGTAGTCCCTGGCCACGGCCTGGCGGCTGTTCAGGGCTTCGCGGGTAGGAACCCTTAAAGGCTCCGTAAACTCAAAGTGGCCTACCCAAAGGGTCCTAAGTACCTGCATAAGGATACCTACCCAAACCATATGATAGAAATTCCGACTATCGAGACCCTGCTTTCTATTATGTAGGTACTTAGGGACCCCTTGGAAGAACAGAAAGGCGAACCTGACGTCTGACCATACCTCGGGGTTTAGGGTTTAGCTTGTAGGGTTTAGGGTCGAGGGTCTAGAGTTTTGGGGAGTCAACTGAACACCCTCGACCCGAACCCTAAACCCTCCGCAAAGACCTAAGCCGTCAAACCAGATGCCTAAACCCTAAATCTTATCCTCAAATACCCACTAGTTAGGACCATAAGCGCTCCATGAAAGGACACTTGAAGGGGTCCCTGGCCTAAACCCCGAAACCCCAAACCCTACAGCCCCAAACCCACACAGTACCCCCTAGCACATTTTCGCATCCTTAAACCCCCAATCCCCCTTTGAATAAGGACCTACACCCTAAACCCTACAGCCATAAACCATATAGCATCCTTATAGTCGCTTATAGTACCCATCTAAATCCTTAAATACCCCTAATCCCACTTTAAAAAAGGACTTGTTCGAGCCCTTACAGCGCCCCTTATAGACCTCTTGAAAAGGAGCCATTTTTCAAGGGAACCCCGTTCCCAGACCCGGGAGGATCCAAAAAGTAGATCCCTTAATATCCCTAAATAGTAGGATCCTTATTATAAGGACCCAAGATAAGGCACCTCTGATTAGGGGAACCCTAAACCCTAAACCCTAAACGGGGAACTTTTTCAGGGGCCTCCTCCTGCGCCTTGCGAGCAGCCTTCAGCTCCGGCTCCTCCTCGAGACAAAGGGCGCAACCTACTTAAAGGATCATGGGACTTAGTAAGGTTTAGGGTTCCTTTTAAGGGTACCATAGGGTTCTATAATAGGGCTTAGAGTTTAGGGTTTAGGGTCTACTTAAAGGATCATGAGACTTAGTAAGCAGGGTTATAAGTAGATTAGAATTAGGATAACCCCACTTAGGGGACTTATAACCCCAGTTATAACCTACTTACTAAGTCCCATGATCCTCTAAGTACTCTTGATGATAAAAATCCTAGGGTTCCTTTAAAGGGATCTATAAGGGTACCTTTCAGGGGCTCCTTTAGGGGATCTATAGGGTTTAGGGTTTGGGGTGATGATATAAATCCTGCATTCCCTTAAGGACCCTAAATTATGGGAATATTAATAATGGCATATTCCTTATCATGTGTAATGCAGGATTTATGTCATCAACCGTAGGAATAAAAAGAGCTCCCTTTGTGGTATTAGGTAACTTTATAAGGAACCTAGGACTACAAAAAGGGAATAAGGGTACCACTGGGCATCCTAGGGCTTCAGGGCTTTCGGAGCGGGTTCCTTGAAGGGTTCTATAAGGAGTCTGTGAGTTCAGGAGTTTAAGGATCTAGGAGTTTAAGGCTTTAGGGCTTTAGGGGTATAGGGTTTAGGGATTTAGGGGTTTGGAGTTTTGGGCTTAGGGCTTTAGGAGAAAATTCCTTTAGTACCGTAGGGCGAACAAAAAATAAAACAGGGTTTTGGGGCTCCTTGTTATTATAATGATCCCCTGAAGCCCTATGATTGTTATGGCCCCTATTTATAGTATTGTGGGGTGTGATCTGCTTCTTGAGGACCTCCTGCTCCTCATGCGACACTTTACTCAGTATGTCCCTCGCGGGACGAAGGCCCATCTCTGATGCTGAGGCGAGTTGTTTTGCTCTGAGGCCGGGAATACAGGGGCAGGAAGTAATAATTAGAATAGGGTTTTGAGGTCCATTCTACTATAGTTATAATAAGGAACCCACCCCCGAAAAAATGTACAGGTAATTACTAAGGTCGGCGTAGTAATCTCAGACATGGTGGAGTAGGAGGCTGGTCCTCGAGAGCGATGGTTGGCTGACATGTGCCAAGTGTGAGTTCGAGGTGGTATTCGCCAAAGGCTCCCAACCGGTGGGTTTATGTACTCGGAGAGCCCAATACCCCTTAATTAAGGAATATGGCTTAGATTATATAGGGGTACATACTATGATTTAAGCTATATTCCTTAACTAAGGGAACTTGGGCTCTCTGAGGGTAAGAGCTTGAAATTGCCTTTGGGGGTTGATACGGCTGTTTACAACAACCTCCAGTGGTTGGAAACCGGAAAAGGGTCATTAGTGCTGGCATGCTACATAGCCTGCGTCTAGCGGATAAGAACAGTGAGCTTCCAATTACCCAGGGCTGCTACTGCACGGTTTCAGGGAATGGGGATCGCAGAAGTACAAGAACGAGAGTGAGCAGTTTCGCACCTTTATATCCATGAAGAAACCCGGCACAAACTATGAAGGCCAACAGGACTTAGCTGGGGTTTTGGTGAAGTCTATGCCAAAACTGTATCAGGGAATCGCGAAGAATAGGGTTACTGCTTTCTCCGCTTGTAATTAAAACTGCTCAAAGCCTCTTCAATAAACCTCTCCAAAACCCGAAGAAGGCCTATAAAGCCCTGAGAAAATAGCCTGAAAGCTTTACACCCTGAACCCTTATATAAACTCGAAACCCTACACCCTGAACTCGTGAACCGTAAACCCTAAACGTGAACCCTGCCTCAATCTAACAAAACCTACTTTTTCGTAGGATCCCTATGATTCTAAACTAGGGTTCATTATAAGAACCGATAAGAACCCTAAGGGTCCATGTACTCATATAGTATATACAGTGGCCTTAAAGTACTCCCTATATAGGTACATTGGCCCAAAGTATATGCTATATGGTACATGGACCCTTAGGGGAAGTAGGCTATGGCAGCTTAAGGTGCATCCTAAATAGCCGCGAGTCCTTGGCTGCCCTAAGCTCCTCCGAGAGGTTGCGCACCTCACAGGAGAGTTCTCATAGGGCTTAGGGCGGCTGAGGGTTTAGGGATTTAGGGGTTAGGGGGGTTTAGGGTCTAGGGTCATGTCACACTTTGGCAAGCCCTAGAACCCAAGTTTAATCCCTATCGAGGACCGTTTATTTCAAGTACTATCTTCGTGGGCATCCACGATCTCCACCTAGGTTTTGCATTCAAGCCTACCGGTTCTCCAGGGATCCCCTTATATAGGAGAACCCTATGCAAAGCCAACATAGTTTGTAGTAGATGTATGTAGTTTGGACATTGAGAGCCTCTATAGGGCCCTTACAGAACCCTGATTAAAACCTCGTTAGTTTAGGTCTGTACTCGAAACATGCTCATACTTGTCTAGGATACCCAGTAACCTAAGAATAAAAAGGCCTCTCTTTTCGGTATTGGGTAACTTTATAAGGAACCTAGGACTACAAAAAGGGAATAAGGGTACTACTGGGCATCCTAGTTGTAGTATAGCCGAAAACCCTAGTCTGAATGCCTCATTACCTCAGCTGGATGCATCCAAGTAGTCGCCGACACTCGCTGGTGCACATGAAAAGAATGGTTCAAGTACTTAGTAAACTGTTTAGGGTTTAGGGTTCAGTACTTGTCGAAGAATTTCCACAGATTGTCTAAGTTCAATTTGAAGCGGCGTTCTGGGCATTCCACATATGAAGCCAAAACGAATAGCCTCAGCTCTGGGTGAAGGGTACCCATGGCAGAGACCCCCAAGTTGGAGGTTCCATAGTCATACCTTGGGTACGGCCCCCATACAGTAACAGTCTATAATAGGGCTACTATGAAGGGCCTTATATATCTAGATTATGAATATTATCCAACTGTTGCTGAGTCGGGACCGTACCCAAGTCATACGGTCTCACACCCGAGGCAACTATGGAAGCGAGTGCCCCCATAATGTAGTAGCCCAGATAGTACCCTTAAGAGGAACCCTAACGGTTTAGGGTTTAGGGTTTAGGGCTAAACCCCAACAATAAGCCCTTAAAGGGAGCCCTATTATAGAACCCTATAGTACCTGTAAAAGGAACCCTAAACCCTAACCCTGAACCCTTTAAAGGGAACCATATTGTAGAACCCTATAGTAGCCTTAAAAGGAACCTTGAACCCAAACCCTACACCCTTAAGGGACCCCCATTATAGAACCCTATAGTACCCTTAAAAGACCTACTTACTTTACTGAGTACCCTGAGCCTTTAAGCAAGTCAGCGATGGAAGCGGCTGCGGTACCATGGCCGCCACAGGGGGCGGGTCACTCGATTCGGGCACCTCCGGTTCAGGCTTTAGGGTTAAGGTTTAGGGGCTAGGATTTAGGGCTTCGGGTTCAGGGGCAGCTCCGCACAGAGACACCTAAATCAAACTCCGTTAACAGCAGACCTGCCTGCAAGACGGCTTCATAAAGCTTTCTTGGCTTTCTTGACTTTGGAAGCATTTCTGGGGTCCGACAATCCAATGATTCGTTCTTCCTTACTAGGAACCACAGCAAAGCAGGATATTGCAGACTCTGCGGCTTTGATCTCAGAACTTTCTGTGCGGCGAGGCCGGGGCGGGTGAGGGTTGGGGGCGCTGGTGACGGTCCTAGTATGGTGTGCCGTGTCGGCGCTGAAACCGAAAGCAAAACAATGAAAAAGGCCGTTTCGGTTGTTATGTGTGGACAATGAACAACTTGAATCGGGTTTTGGGGGGCATACTAAACTACATAATAAAACAAGGAACCCCCACCATGATATTGGTAATTGCTTAGGCCTCTAAAGCAGAACCCGCCTAACCCTCAAACGTAAACCCTACACCCTTAACATCCAAACGAACGTACTTGCACCCTGCTGGTTGCACCTGTACCTTTGCGCGCTTGCCAGGTGCGGTCGCAGCCGCCTTGGGTTGCCTCGGACGAATCCGGGCTTCTGGGCTTCAGGGTACTGGGTTTGGGGAGGAAGGCCCCGCCGGGGGGGGGAAAGCGGCTTCGGGAGTTGAGGGTGCTGAAAAAAGGTGCCTCGAAATTGCACAAGGTTTTGGATATGTTTTACTATAACATCTTATAACTATAGAACAACATGTCAAGGGCCGCCGCGTGGTGACATTGATGAGAAACAGGCCGTACAAAATATAAGATAGAATATAGAATATGGAACATACAACATACGATATACACGATACTGGGTAGCATGATGAAGGAGACCCCTTAAAGGGTACCCCTTTCGAACCCTACTTCTGGCTCTCTTAAAAGGGACATTATTGAGAGGGTCTATATCCCCCGAGGGTCCCCCTAATCCTAACTCCCACCTAAACCCTCAACCCTAAACCCTAAACCCCTAAATCCCAAACCCTTAAACCCTAAACCCCACATCCTAAACCCTAAACCCCCTACACCCCCATTATAACCTAAGTCCCATGATCCTCTAAGTACAATATCTATTCGAGCAAAAAAGTCGCAGCTACCTCTGCTTTTGCCGCGACACTGACTCAGCGGACGCTTCGCCGGACGAGGCTGCGCGATCTCCCCAACTCGGCTGCTGCACCTGTCTTTTGGGGACCTTGAGTTCAGAGTTTAGGGGTTTAGGGTGTAAGGTTAGAGTGTTTAGGGTTTGGGGGTTTAGGGTTTAAGGTTAGAGTGTTTAGGGTTTAGGGGTTTAGGGTTTAAGGTTAGAGTGTTTAGGGTTTAGGGCTTACGGTTTAGGGTTTTGTTGCCTGTAGGGCACGGTGTATGCTTTTTGGTTTAAGGTGTCGGCTGCAGGTTGTTCTAGGGAGCTGAGAATTTTGATCAGGCTCTTTTTCTGCTTGACACTTTTGTGCATGAAGCCGCTAGGCAGCCAATCCTTGCAAGAATCCTGCAAGCCACCGTTCGATACACGTATATATATATATATATATATATATATATATACATATATATATATATATAGATTTATATGTCGGTACACACATACATACATACATACGTACATACATACATATATACATACGTACATACATACATACATATATACATACGTACATACATGCATAAGTACGTACATATATACAAACATACATACAAACAAACATACATACATACCCTGAAAATAAAACACACCACAACAAAGCAACACCCAAATGTACATCCAAGAGCCGCACAACTGCTTTACTTCCTCAACCGCTACACCCAGAATCCGACAAAAATCCCAAAACCCTAAACCCAGAATATGAAAAACAAAATCCATAACCCTAGACCCCCTAAGGGTCCATGTACTCATATAGTATATACATTGGCCTTAGAGTACTCCCTATATAGGTACATTGGGCCCAAAGTATATGCTATATGGGTACATGGACCCTTAGGGGACCCAGAAACCATATATATATATATATATGAAAAACAAAATCCCAAAACCCTAAACCCAGAATATGAAAAACAAATCCAATACCCTAGTCCCAGAAACCGACAACATCCCGAGTGCACCAGGGCCCATGGTTCGGGCAGCGATTGCAGCACAAGCCAGGGGCCACCTCGAGAGAATTTCTCGAAGGCCCCAAGAGGGTTTAGGGTTTAGGGTTCCTATTCAGGATTCCTACTATAGGGGCCTGAATGATTAGAACAGGGTTCCTTTAAAGGGTTCCTTAAAGGATTCTAGAGGGATCTATAGTAGGGTTCTGTGGTATATGGGCAAGAATGACTAGAATAGGCTTTGGCGGTATTTTTACTAAACTTGTAATACGGAACCACCAAAATAGTATAGGCAACTATTTAGGCCCCTATAGTATACCTTTTCGGGTTCAGGGTTCAGTGCTTAGAGTTTAAGGTGCAGCCCAAAGAACCTGGCTTTGAAGGAGTCCTTATTATGGTTTCTGTATATACGTCCTTAGAAAGTTGGTTTCGGCCACAAGTAAGGCAGGGATTGGCTGTGGTTTAGGGGTTAAGAGCTCAGGGTAGTAAGGTCGACATTTGTAAGGGTTGTATACCCTCGACCTTACACCCTTTACCCCGAATCCTAAACCCTAAACTAAACAACAATCTCCGGCGGTTACAAACTTAAGTGGTGCCTGAAAACACCCTAGAGAGCTAGGAGTTTAAAGTAAAAGCCAGAAAGTTGGAATATGATTGTCCTAAACCCTTTATGGTAAATTGTAGGTATCCTACCCTGAAACCATATTCCAACTTTCTGGAGTTCCCCTAAACCCTGAACCCTAAACCCTTTAAGGTTTAGGAACATCGGTCTGGGGTTTTAGGCACGGCTTGGTCTTGAGAGTGCAGGCAGGGCTTCAGCGCCAGCTACAGGCCACCCCATCCTACAGTAGAAGCCAGAAAGTTGGAACATCATTACCCTCATGCCCTTCAGGTAAAGTATGAGGGATCCTAGCACTAATCCTCCTAGAGTCATGTTCCAGCTTTCTGGCTTCTACTATATAGGGGCCTTGACAATTGGAACAGGGTTTTGGGGTACAATAGTACTATAAGCACATAAAGGAATGCCAAAATAGTACAGGGTGATTTATAACCAGGCTCCTATACTATACACCTGACCCAAACCACGGTTAATGAATACAATAGGTTTTCGACGATATCGGACAGCTCGGAGTGAAATTATGATAAGGAGCCCCAAACAGCAATCTTGGCACAGACTTCTACAGTAAACCCCATGAAGTTGGAAACACGATTGAGGCCAAGTAGTGCTGGGATTCCGTAGACATTACTCTCAAGGAGTAAGGCTATTGGGTTTCCATCTTTTGGGCTTCTACTGTATACCCTGAATACCCACTATTAAGGACCATAAGGGCTCGATTAAAAGGGACTTGGGGGCGCTGGGAGGCCCAACTGACTCGACCTCGTTCTGCAGGGAAGGCCTGATGATGCTGATACGGTAGCTCACGACTGGGGCGTACCAGGTGTGCCAGGTGTCGAAGTCGTCCAGGCCATGGACAGGAATGTGTTCAGGCAGTCGCGGACACCGTGACCTTGCCGATTATGGTGCCTCCTGTGGCGATCCCGGCCCGGGCTTTTTTGTGCGGGGCTCACCGCTGGCTTCAGGATTCTCATCATCATCAGCATCATCGGCCCATGCTTCATCATCTTCCTCCAACTCTTCCCCATCCCGGCCCTCCTCGGGCCAATCTTCCTCACCCGCCAAGCCAGTGAGGCTGTCGGCCTCGCCAGCAGTCTGCTGCCTTTTCAACTCTGCCTTTTCCACCTTTCGCTTTTCGGCGGCTGATGTGGCCACGAAAGCTATAAGCAGCACTCCCAAAAACCCAGACCCAGACCTTCGTGCCATCTACGAGAAGGCTCGACCACAGGATCTCGGACAGTAGGGGATTAGGGTTTAGGGGTTTAGGGGTTTAGGGTTTAGGGCTCCAAAACAGGTGTCTCCAATGTACTGCCAGTCTCTGTTCTATGTTTGGTTCGTCCCGAGGTTCACCGGCAAATCTACATCCTGCCTCCAGGGCCCCGAAGCCACACCAATGAAACCCTGCTATCACACCTTGGAAGACCATAATTACCCAAATAGTATATACTTTCACTTTTAAAGTAGTCCCTACCTAGGTACCTAAGGCCAAAGTACCTACTATTTGGGGTCCTTATAACACATGTAAACCCAGGAAAACCCTTACACCGCAGAGCTACGGTGAAACAGTGTAGGGTTGAGGGTCTAGCTTAATCTACCATAACCTACCTTTCTTCTAGGCTCTTATTATAAAACCCTAGTATAGGTTTAGAGGGACCCTATGAAAACTTGCTTCGGTAGTTCAACTAAAACTATTACCCTAAAAATGCTGTCCAAGGAACACCTTTGCGCGGGCTGACAGGGAAAGTATTGCAGCGTGTGCAGAGCATGGGCCCCCCAAGTGGGGCGCACCTGCAGCACTCTGGGCGCACTTGGGTGGCATGATGAGGGAGACCCCTTAAAGGGTACCCCTTCCGAACCCTACTTCTGGCTCTCTTAAGAGGGACCTTATTGAGAGGGTCTATATCCCCGAGGGTCCCCCTAATCCTGACTCCCAGCACTTGGGTAAATCGTAGCGTGTAGGGTTTTTCGTCGAAGGAGCCTCAACGCAGTTTGTCTAGCATAGTGAAGGCATACTACAGGCCCTGAACCCTAACCCTGGATTTCGGTCAGCATAGTGTAAGCATGCTACAGAAACTGTGAGTAAGGGAACACTATCCGCTGTAACAGGGCTCCGTGGGAAGCCGCCCAGAGAGCCCAATAGGTACCCCTTAATTCAGGAATATAACTTAAATCATAGTATGAGGCCCCGTATAGTTTAAGGTATATTCCTTAATTCAGCGATATTGGGAGTTCAAGTTTTTCGGGTTGAGGGTTCGTGTGAAGAGCATGACGAAGAAATACAAAAGTGAAAGTCCAGCCCCCTCAAACAAACAGCTCATGCACGCAAAATGTACTTGCGACGATCTGCAAGGCACCATGTACCGGACTTTGAAGTAACCAGGGAGAAAAAAGTATAGACTTTTGTTTCATGACGGTTCCTTTAAGGAGCAGGTACCAAAAAAGTATTCAAGTATGGTACTCCAAACCCATGTAAGGAGCGGACAGGAGATAGAGCACCAGGATACGTGGGAGGAGCACCCAAAGGCTGCAACAACAGCCAGTTACCCTAAGGGGCCATGTACCCATATAGCATATACTTTGGGCCCAATGTACCTATATAGGGAGTACTTTAAGGCCAATGTATATACTATATGCTTAAAGGATCATGGGACTTAGTAAGTAGGGTTTTAAGTAGGTTATAATTAGGCTAACCCCACTTAGAGACTTATAACCCCAGTTATAACCTACTCACTAAGTCCCATGATCCTCTAAGTAGGGTAGCGCTATCCGCATCCTAAACCGTTTGCGGACTTTGAAGTAACCAGGCAACCAGAGAGAGAGAGAGGGAGAGAGAGAGAGAGAGAGAGATAGAGAGAGAGAGAGAGAGAGAGAGATAAAAAAAAACAAATGTAGACATTTAGTTCATACTGGTTCCTTTCACCACCGAAGCCCTAAATCCCAAACGCTAGAACCCAAAGTTGATAATACCAAGAGGGCAGCAACCTACTTTCAGCCTCCCGACCAAAGGAAGTGTGGGGGTTCAAGGTTGCAGTGTTGAGGCTTCAAGTTTGCGGAGTTTAGGGATCGGGCCGTAGAGTTCTCAAAACTTTCCCTTGGGCTTTATGGGTCTTCAATGGGCTTTAGCGGTGCTTTACCCGGGGTATCCTTCGTCCTACTATCCATTTTGAACCAGGAACCCTAAACCCTAAACCCTAAACCCGCAAGCAGACTTCCTAGACCTTAGGAAGCATAGCATCTGGGCTCTTCAAGAGCTGTCAGAATGCCGCCAGGCCTAGGCGAGGCGCTTCATGCCGCCGCACTCCATGGCTATCGACTATCTTCACATATAAACAAATATGCATTCATTTATATACAAAATAGACGTATGCCTACACACGTGTATATATGTATATAAGTAACATATAGCTATATATATATATACATGTGTACCTGTGTGTTTAAGGTTCAGGATCCAGGGGTTAAGGTTCGATGTGTTCGAGTTGAGGGTATCTTGTCTTGTTGTTCGTCAGGGGGCCCTTGTTCGAATTTACACGGCTAAAATTGACTATCTTGTGCGTGTGGGTATGTGTGTGTGTGTGTTGGGGGGAGATTTCGGATTTCGGGATGTACGTGTTTGGGGTATGTTACGTCTGAACACCTCGGTTTGGATCTCACACCATTGGACGAAGGTTCATGGCTCCTGGCAGCCACATGGACAGAACTGCCAGAAGAGGTCGACGGGCTTTCTTTTCTGCATATCTGCAGACCGGTAACCTGATTGTCTGTGCGGTTTGCGGTCTATAGCTTGCGATTCTGCTTCATTGGAAGTTAGAAAGATGTTGCAAATGGCTTTAAACGGTTTGGGATGGTTTGGGGTTTAGGAGTTCAGGAAAGCCTTAACCGACAGCCTTTGCGGTTTTGGGCTTTGAGCAGCATCGCGGCGCATAGCAGGCCTGACGTCGATTTTCCTCTTCCAGACCGCCTTTTCTTGACCCATGCATGCCCTTTCAGCCCATGAATACGGCCGTATCTTGCGCCATACAACGGTAGGATACGTTTTGGGTTAGGTTTTGTGGTTTTGTACTTCTTCTGAAAATCTTGAACCCACAACTTGCACCCTAAAACCCAAAGCCCTACCCTGAAACCGCTTTAGATCCATTGGTTGTTTGGGTACGTAAAAATTCACAGGCCCCGAACCTGGTTAAACTCAAGCTTAAGCGCTCTCAGGGTAATGCGTTTTCCTGTTCCTTCAAGGATTCCTTCAAGGACATATAAAGGGAACTCCAGAAAGTTGGAATATGGTTTCAGGGTAGGATACCCTATAATTTACCATAAATGGCTTAGGATAATCATATTCCAACTTTCTGGCTTTTACTTTAAAGGTATTTTTCCCGTTTGAGATCTCAGGGTTGGGATGTCGTTCTTCACACCCCTGTACTGTGGTATAGCGACAGCTTATTGAAAAAAAAGAATGCAGCCTTTTGTCAGCACTCTTTGAAAATCGACAACGGTTTATGGTTTAGAGTTGAAGATTTAGGGCGGCCTTCTTCAGGTTGATGGGGTTCTGAGGTCACGGACTTTTCAAGCTCGCTTTAAAACAATACCAGTATCCACATTGCGGTGGGGGCATGTTGTAGGGGGTCGGAAAGGGAATGTAAGGGCCGGAACAACAATTTGGATTACGCCCTGCCGGTGCGTGTGATAAGAACTGAAAATGCAAGACAACAAGGTGATTATACAATAACATGTAGCTTGGTGTGTTTTAACATCAGAGAAGACAGGATGCCAAAATCATCTATATCTTGCTGTAAAATAAACAATTATACAAACATCAAAAAATATTGCATAATCGAAAAAAGCCGGAAGGAATAACACAAACTAGAACAGCATAGAGTAGCATATCATAGAAGAGACAAAATAGTATTATAACTTAGCATAGTAAAGTATAGTGATATATAAGAATGAGCAAAACGAGAATACATCGCAATATGATGTAGTATAACGTGCTATAATGAGATGCGATGCACTTTAGCAAAACATAATATGTAATCATGTAAACTTTTCGTTCTGAACATTTAGTACTGCGCCAGGACGAAAGTTCGTCGCATCCGGTAGGTCTGCTCATCCTGCTGATGCTCGCCCGCGACTAAAAACGAGTAGGCGCCCGTCCAAAAAACCTCCTCCGTGTGACACATGCTGGCCTGGCCGAACTAGCGGTCTTGGAATTCATGCCCCGTCCAAAAAACCTCCTCCGCGTGACACATGCTGGCCTGGCCAAACTAGCGGTCTTGGAATTCATGCTGCTCACCCGCGACTAAAAACAAATAGGCACCCGTCCAAAAAACCTCCTCCGTGTGACACATGCTGGCCTGGCCGAACTAGCGGTCTTGGAATTCATGCCCCGTCCAAAAAACCTCCTCCGTGTGACACATGCTGGCCTGGCCAAACTAGCGGTCTTGGAATTCATGCTGCTCACCCGCGACTAAAAACGAGTAGGCACCCGTCCAAAAAACCTCCTGCGTGTGACACATGCTGGCCTGGCCGAACTAGCGGTCTTGGAATTCATGCCCCGTCCAAACAACCTCCTCCGTGTGACACATGCTGGCCTGGCCAAACTAGCGGTCTTGGAATTCATGCTGCGCCAGGACGAAAGTTCGTCGCATCCGGTAGGTCTGCTAACACATACTCGCAAACCCCTTTCCCCCATAGACTCCTTCACGAAGTCGCGATGTTTGGCAAGGACGTCACTAATTCCTCCGTCGGAACAAAAAAACAGTGTATGTTCATTTTGGCATGGAAATTCCTCCGCTAGCCAGGCCACGTAAAATGCACTTCTTCGTACTCCGAGTCCTCCGCCAAGCAAACATCTTAGTGCGACAAAACTTTCATCCTGCTGATGTATATACCTAATCTCTTTGATTATAATACCGTAAACCCCAAGCCCTAATCCCTTTGATACCTCAACCCACGATCCCAACAACCCTGAACATCTCGGCACGAAGCCACAACCATGGTCTAGCTATTACGGCGGTTTCTGGATCCAGAAACACTCCAGTAAACCTTAGACAGGGTTTAGGGTTTAGGGTTTAGGATTTAGGGTCTAGCTATTACGGCCGCTAAACTGACCCTGAACATCAGGGCCTCGAATCAAAATCTCCCCTATCTTATATGGGAGTTTCCAAGAATACGGGACCCTAATACAGTGCCCTAAGTTGTACGTGCCTTATTACACGGACCCCAGAATAAGGTACCCCTAAATTTCGGATACTCCCATGTAGTTGCCGAGTTCATAAGCCCCAAAAACAGTGCGCAGTTTCAGTTTCAGAAGGTATGGTCCGGCATTATTAGGGACTCAAACAAGCACATAACCAAAGACTAGGATAGGCATATCCCATATAAACACCCTTATGAGGAACCCAACGGTAGGTATATCCCTCTAAAATGCTTATGCTTATGTGCCTTTGGGGTCTCTGCATTATCCCCCAAAAATGTCAAGCGCACTCATCCAGCTACTTATATTATAAGCTATGGAACCTCGAACCCCTGAAGCTCGAAACCCTAGACCCCTGAAGCGCCGGCCTTGGCAACTAGAACCATACCAGGAGGCCGTCCCTGATGTGTAGAGACCTGCTTGATTCCAACGGGTTAGATTGTAGGCTTCAGGCTTTAGGGTTTGAGGTTTAGGGCTTCCAGTTTAGGATGGTTTAGGTAGGGTTTGGTGGTTTAGGATCGGGGCAAGATTTGAAGACCTGGTTACCAAGCTTAACCCCAAACCCTAAACCCTATTGAGGGATTGAAAATTCAGGGCAGGGTCAGGAGGTTGGAAGGCTCATATAGGGGCCTTGTGGAGGCTCCTGATTATATCTGCAGTATAATGGGCCCCCAAAACCCTATTCTAATTATTAAGGCCCCTTTATGGGAGTTTCCGAAAATTAGGTGTACCTTATTTGGGGGTCCTTACTATAAGGATCCTACTTTTTAGGGCACTATATTGGGGTCCCTTTTTTTCGGAAACTCCCATATTAGTTTGTAACGGCTCATGGTCCGGTTCAGTCTGAGGCACAGACCGTTCGACCGTTTGGGTTCGAGTTTCGCGCCTCTGGGCTTTTCGGTTGAAGGTCTACTTAGAGGATCATGGGACTTAGTAAGTAGGTTATGAACGCGGTTCTAAGTCCCCTAAGTGGGGTTATCCTAATTATAACCTACTTATAACCTTACTAAGTCCCAGGAGCCTTTAAGTAGAGGGTTTGACTTCCGATTTTCGATGTTAAGCCTTGGAAGGGGATCTCGTGAACATGCGTATTGATTAGACTGGATGACTCTATGGCGAATGCGCGTTGACTAACTCCTCGCTGATGAATCACTTCATAATACATGCATACATTAGGATCCGTCGATGCGGACACCACGCAAACACAAGCAAGTTTGTCTTGGAACAAACTTGTAACGCCCCGCAATCCTTAAGATGTAAGCCCTAAACCCCAAACCCTAAACCCCAAAACACCCTCTGCGCAGAACACCGCACAGTGTCTCAGATGGCAAAAGCTGCACCAATTCCTGTTGGGGGTTGCGACATACACGAGTTTTACCTACATTCTTAACCCTCAACCTAGGCCCTTAACCCAAAACCGACGATTTTTGGATGCTTCTGTGGTCATGGGCATCGGAAGTCTTTTTCTGTGCTGCCCCTTGGTGCCTCGAATTCTGTGGGGGAGTTTCCTGTATAAAAGTAGGGTTGAGGGTTTACTTAGAGGATCATGTGACTTAGCAAGTCGGTTATAACTGGGGTTACCAGTCCCCTACTTAAAGGATCATGGGACTTAGTAAGTAGGGTTATAAGTAGGTTATGATTAGGATAACCCCACTTAGGGGACTTATAACCCCAATTATAACCTACTTACTAAGTCCCATGATCCTCTAAGTAAGTGGGGTAAGCCTATTTATGAACCACTTCTAACTTTACTTACTAAGTCCCATGAGCCTCTAAGTCGACACTAAACCCTAGCTAAACCCTTAAAGGGGATCCTGTTATAGAACCCCCTAGTACCCTTAAAAGGAACCCTAAACCTTACTAAGTCCCCTGAGCCTTAAAGTAGGGCATAGGGTTTAGGATTTAGGGCGACGAAGCACTCAAAAGGCCCTGAAACCCAAGAATCTCGCCCTGAGAAAACCAAGAAGCCCCTAAACCCCTAAACCCTACACCCTAAACCCTACACCCTACACCCTAAACCCTAGCCCTACACCTGAAACCCTACACCCTAAACCCTACACATGAAACCCTAAACCCTACACCCTACACCCCAAAACCCTAGTAGCACCCTATACATCCCTTAAAGGATCCCTTAAAGAAACCCTTAAAGGAGCCCTTAAAGGAACCCTAATACTGCCGGTCCAAGGTTCCCTTTAAAAGGATCTATGGGGGGGGAAACCTTCGAGGGACCTATAGGGTTTCGGGTTTGGGCTTCTGGGGACTCCTGATAGGGTTAAGGTTCAGGGTTTAGGGTTTAGGGTTTAGGGTTTAGGGGTTAGGGTTTAGGGTTTATGGTTTAGGGTTTAGGGTTTAGGGTTTAGCTGTATCGGGATTGTCTTTTGCTGTTTATGAACCAGCAAATGGGGTCCTCAAGCAAAACAAGCACGCCTAGCACACAACAACTTCCCCCACAAGGACAAAATCAGTTGACCAGGCCGGCATTCTGGTTTAGGGTTCAGTTCTTGTTAAGCCAGGCTTTTGCAGCTTAAGATGATGATAGGTGGAAGGAATGATGTAGAATCCTAGCTGAAAAGATCATGGGACTTAGTAAGTCGGTATAACTGGGGTTTTAAGTCCCCTAAGTGGGGTTATCCGAATGATAGCCTACTTATAGCCTGACTTACTAAGTCCCATGAGCCTTTAAGTGCACTGTGCCTCTGCCCATTTCGCTTTGACAAAGCCAACGAAATCATCCACGATTTCCTGTCACGGTCATCCCCAAGCCTACATCCCGTAAGCATGCCCTGAACCCTGAAACCCCAAACCCTCAAGCCTCAACCTACAAAACCCCAAAACGACACAACCACCAAAATCCCCAAGGCAAGCCTGAGACCTTCACTAGCGCTTTTGGGACATGCAGTGGTGGGTTTCTCCACTATACTGTAGACCAAATAAGAACCGTGAAATCTTAAAATAACAGGAACCGTGATCCTAAACTCTACAGCAAATCTTCAAACCCTAAACCCCGAAACCTCCGAATTCCAAACTAGCCAGCAGACTGAGGTACGCGGAATGCATGGCCCGATCGTCTGGAATCCGCACACTAGTATTATCAACGTGCTGTGAATAATTCATCCCCTGAACCCTAAACCCTGAACCCTAAAGCCTAAATCGTATCGGACGTCTCGAGCGGCCGGGGTGGTGAATACGGCCCCAGAAAAGCACATAGGCAAAAACAAGGATAGGGATATCCCATATAAACCCCCTTAGAATGAAGCTCAATAAGGTAAGGATACCCCTATAAAATGCTTATGCTTATATCCCTTTTGGGGTCCTGAAGTGAACCTCATTAATTTGCCTGTACGTGGCCATGATTCTGAAAACATACCCATGTAGACCCTCCGATGCAGTTCCTTGTTCGGGTACGGTTTAGGGTTTAGGGTTTGCGTCCTTGTCAAAAGGATCCCACTTCTAAAACAGTTTACCCATACTTACCATGCAGTTGTTAAGTTTTTTAGAGGGTTTAAGTATGTCTGGCAACCGTTCGAGCAAATCAAACATAATATCGAGTTCGACTTTTCACTGTACCTCAAATCTAAAACTAAAGCCAGGCATGGATGATTAGGATTTACAAGAAACCAGCCAAACACCTCACATAAATGCACTATTGGCCTCGAAAAGCTTACCTGCTTCAGGACTTATGGACTAGAAGGAAAACATCAGAACCCTAAACCCTAAACCCTAAACCAACCCTAACACTGTGGGCTTTGAAGGGTTCAGGTACCTCCCGAAGAGACACGTGGAACCCGGAGGGTTCTCTGATTTTGAAGAGCGAAGTAGACTGCTTAAAGGCTCATGGGACTTAGTATGTAAGGTTCTAAGTAGGCTATCATCAGGATAACCCCACTTAGGGGACTTATATAATGCCAATGATAACCTGCTTACTAAGTCCCATGATCCTCCAAGTGGGTTTGCTTGTCTTAAGAAGCCCCTTAGCCCTTATAT